CACTCTTCTTGTCAGTCAGCTCGACTCACTCTCCTCACTGGAGAAATGAAATCTGATCTGTGTGATGCGACTGTCGTTCGGCACGCTACATTGAGCAGCAGCGTTCAGTTTTTAATTGTAGTGCCTGTTCTTTTACTGAACTAAATGATTTTTATTACTATAAAAAATCTAAACGACGGTGGGGGTCAGTGCCACGGTGGGCAAATGACATAACCGGTGTTGCGGCTTAACAACGGTATCACCGTCAACACCGTCTTATCGCCGCAAGCCTAGTAAGGAGTTGGTAAGTTTTTGAAAAGTCTCTTATGTTCACCAAGGCAGAATTTATTTGATCAAAATAAAGTAAGAACAGTAATACCGTTAAATATTATTACAATTAAAAAACTTTTCTATTTATATATATATATATATATATATATATATATATAACAATACTTCAGAAATCATTCTAATATGCTGATTTTGTGCTCAAAAAACATTTCAAAATTGTTCAAAATAGTTATTTTGTGCTCAAAAAACATTTCAAAATTGTTCAGAATAGATATTTTGTGTTCAAAACAATGCCCTTTTTTCAGGATTTTTAATGAATTGAAAGTTCAAAAGAACAGCATTTATTAGAAATGGAAATCTTTTCTATTATTAAAACTTTTGAACAGTAATAATAATGCAATAATGTATGAATTGTGAATGTCAATCCAAGATGTGGTCATTTGGATTATGTTGACTGATCTGTTCCAGTAATTGTCCAATGAGATTCTGACATTCTCTAGTATTTCTGTTCGGATCACGTCTAGACATAAAACACTCCCTAATACAACAGTGTTAATCACAAGGAGAGTCTGAAATGAACAAATATGTTCCAAGATGACATCCACAGCAGCCTCACCTTCATAGTGCAGGACCAGTTCCACGATCTCACCAACTCGGCTGCCCTCAAGTCCTGCCAGGTGATGAAATTATGAAACGGTTTTCCCGTGTTTCTGGGAATGATAACAAAAGAATATATGCCGCCTCAGTCAGTTCACTAAGTTTTCTGCCGAACAATCACAGGATGTAATGTATACGAACCTGTCCCACGTCATGAACGTTGCCCTCTGGGTTGAGATGCCCAGACTTTCCATTTGGCACATCTGTAAGCCTGCATCTAAACCAAAGAGAGAGAAGAGGAGAGGAGTCTTGTCACTATTATAACCTTCATCGGACCTTTAAACTCATGGACCTACATTCATCACAGGGGTTCTCAACCTTTTTGACTCCAAGGCCTCCCTTTGTCCGAGACAATATTTAGAGGCCCTTCTATCTAAACTGATATGCACTCCTGGCACCTCTGTTGCAGTAAATATAACTGATGTCTAAAAAAAAGATTATGTCAGTGTAATGGGTTTTCACATCTTTATATAGCTTTAATTGCATTTCAATTAAGACAATGTTCATATAACTACATTTAAATAATTTTAAGAATTATTGAGGCCCTCCTGGATGTTTGCTAAGCACCTCTAGTGGGCCTCAAACCCTTGGATGAGAACCACTAATATATCAGACAGCACATCAAAATGATTTACAGTAGCCCTGAAAAGTACATTAACACCTTCTCTTACCAAACATCCAGTATGCTGGATTCATGTTTTAGATTCTCTTTCCATACTGCCTTATTTTTTGTGTGTGTTTGTTTGTTAGTTAGTTGGTTGGTTAATATAAAATTACATTCATAAAAGGCAGCAAGTGAAAGTAATGCTATAATATTAAATGCTTTTGTAAAATGCTACTATATTCTTATTTTCGTAGAACAATTTTTGTGTGACTTTTGATGTCCAGTATACTGGACGTTTGGACTGTAAAATTGTAACGTGTCCATATCACACATTAACATATGATAATGTGCAATAATACTAACTTTAATAATGCGTAATCTGCTGTTAATTAGTTTCACTTACTGTGACACTCAACAAAAAAATTATTATAGTAATAAAAATGTATAATTAATAATATTTTATATAATAAACCAGTTAAAAATGCACATGCAGACGTATGGGCTTGATTAATCTGGCAACACCAGTGAAAATACTCAAGATTTAATAAACGTAATTACAATACAATTTATCCCCACAAAACACAGAAAGATTGATTGCAGCTTGCTATTTAATGTGCGATATTTGTTTAACATAATTTGATTGCAAGCAAGCAAGCATGCCACTAGGTTTGATGTTTTGACTTCTGATGCAATGACATTTATAATTTTTTTTAAAAAGTAATTTAAGTGTCCAAAAAGATTTGGGGGGCGTTGTATGCTTAAATAAAGGTGTCTGACCTTGAACTGCTCCTTTGACTACAGTCACAAAGTCTTTCCACAGATCATCAGGGTCAATCTCTACCCATCCAGGCTGAGGATAAAGTAGGGACACCTGTAACAAGGAAGCTGCCATCAGATTTCTCACGCGTGTAAGGCACTGGCACAATCCTGTCAAGTCAGTCCAACAGTCAGCCTGCGGTCATTTACCTTCGCGGAGCAGGACCCCCTGATACTGGCGCTCTTATCGTACACATGGCACCTGATGGAGGTTGTTCCCACATCAACAGAGAGAATGAAAGTCTCTCGTTTGCTGAACCCGTTTCTCTGAGTCCCCATTGCACAATGTGTTCATTCAGAAAGCCGCAAGGATACTTTAGTCACCATGGCTATGAGCATGTCAGGGAGGATCCAAACTTGAGTCAAATGATCCCGTTTTCAACTTTGCTCCGTAGACCTTTGAGTTTCATTCCCCAATAGGCTTGAATGCCAGACCACTGGCAGATTTTTAATCCGTTAAGAAGGCCGATTCAATGTGTTCACATCATTGTTCTGAAGGTGTGTTTTGAATGGACAAATAATAATCTTAAACCTATGTACGTGTGCCCCAAACTTTCCCAAACTCGCGCATGTGACCTCGCGCCCTATTTTAAACATCTAACGTTTACAGTTGCGATTTAAGCCGAAAAACAGGCGCTTATTTTCTACAGTGAGAGATAAAAAGTTACCGAAAACTTGAGGTGGACGGGTCAATCTCAGTACAACCAACAAAATATAGGCGGTCGATTAAGTACAACAGTACAATTCAGCACGTCACACATCAGTCGATAGGTGTGGAGACTTCTTAAAGAGACAGAGCAGCAATTTCAGCCTGCTGACGTCATGTGCACTCGCTGCTAAACAATGGAGCTATTCGGAAAAACAGCCTTTTCACATTCCAGGGTTCTTTAAAAAAAAATAAAAAATTTATTATTGAAGATATAACATTCACAGGGGATACAGTCATAGCAATAAATTACATACACAACCAGAATACAGAAAACAAATATATAAAGAATAATAAAAATGAAATATAAAGAACAAAAACAAAAAATTAAACATCTTTTCTTTCCTTTTTATAAATTGATCATAAATAAATTACAATAAAAAATAACGTAAATGGAAAATTACATATAAAATGTCAACTTCAAAGAATGCACAGGAGGTTTACATTAAAGTCAATATGTTTCCTATCAATACAGTAGTTTTAACAGATTTCTTGTTAAGTGAAGAGCAGAGAGATTCATAAAATAATTTCAAATCAATACAAAAAATCCTAAAATGGGGCATACACTCAGTGAGAGGGGGGGGGTCACATCACAGTGGAGTTAGCTGTCTTAACCGTGGCTTGTGTACTGCAAACACATACCAGCTTCATCACTGTGTCTGTCACGCGACTCTGTTCCCCTTTCGGGCTCTGTCTTTACATTTATTTTGAAAGATGAAGCTCGCGATTATGGTAAGGGGCGTTACATTTCCGACGAGTGCTTGCGGTGTTCGGCCAATCACAATGCACTGGGTCAGCTGGCCAATCAGAGCAGACTGCGCTTGTCGGAAGGAGGGACTTTGTAGAAAACGAAGCGTTTGAGAGAGGCGGGGCATAGAGGACCTACAATAATGTACAGTATTTGAAAAAGAATGTGTTTTTTGAACATTAAAGCATGTCAACATATTCTGTTACACCAAATACACAAAATAATGATCTTTAAAAAAGCATCATATGACCCCTTTAAGATATCATCCAGCTCCTTTGATCCTCATTCCCAAATTAAAAATAGTACATTAATTACCTCAAAACTAAAAAGTTTGTTGTAAGCTGAGAAAACAAGCCAAGACATTTCTTTCCAAAAATCCTTTGCATACTCACATTCAAAAAATAAGTGTGATACTGTTTCCAAATTAGAATTACAGAATGTGCATTACGAAGAGATGTCCAACTTAAATTTTGAGAGTAAAGAATTACAGGGATAGTACATATGAAGAATCTTATAGTAAAGTTCTTTCATCTTGTTAGGTAACAGAAATTTGTTAATACCGGCCCATATTTTAATAGTAGAATGAAAAGGGTCATTTATTTTCCACTTATAAAATGCTTTAGGATGACAGCTAAACTTCTTAATAAGGATTTTTCTAATCCAGAAATTGTTACATTTAACATTAGAAAGCTCCAAACCTCCAATAAATTCCAGGGTTCTTACAAGAGGACATATTCATATTTGGATGAACTTCTAGTCACCTTAATTTTCCTGTAATAGCGGGCAGTCAATTTGTAAATTTGATGGGTCTGGCTTCCGCTCTCATCAGCTTCCAGCTATTTTTATCTGTACAAAACAACTCGTTTTGCTGTTTGATATTGCAAATTGGTGTCTTACCATATTATTTTTATGTATTATCTTAATTATGAACACACTGGTTTGTAGTGCTTCTCTAATATTTTTGTATTATATCTATTTTGTTCTTTTTATTTATTATACAATTAACAAAAGCAAAAAAAAGGCCTCTAATACTAGCTTGCTCTATTCTTTTTTTTTTATTTATTATATAAAAAAAAACATTGCTACGTGTACTGCATTAAGCTAACTGAGACTTGTTATACTAGTTATTGCTTCCATTGTCCTCATTTGTAAGTCGCTTTGGATAAAAGCGTCTGCTAAATGACTAAATGTAATTTAAATGTAGTGCAAACAGTTTTGTCTTTTACTGCACTTTGTTATTCTTCTCGTTATACCCTACAGTGGCTAATGACCTGGAAGTCTCACACATTCACAGAAAATGGCTTACTTCCGCGTTGAAGAATAAGGTGAAAGGAAACTACAACAAATATAACTTTCGTGTCTAAATTTGTTCCAACAGCAAAAAAAAAAAAAAAAAATCCATGATAGCATTTGTAAGACTTTACAAAAGAGAGATTATGGCGGTCAGAAGAGAGACATTTGCCAAATGTTACACTCTAAAAAATGCTGGGTTAAATATAACCCAGCGCTGGGTTAAAAAGGGACAAACCCAGCTATTGGGTTGTTTTGACCCAGTGGTTGGGTTGTTTTGACCCAGCAGTTGGTTTGTTTTGAACCCAAACGCTGGGTCAAAACAGCCCAATAGCTGGGTTTGTCCCTTTTTAACCCAGCACTGGGTTATATTTAACCCAGCATTTTTTAGAGTGTATATACGTTATATACATATTATACGTGGTATACAGTAATTGTTTTAAAAATGAAAAAAAAAAAACACTTTAGATTTATGGTATAAATAACTGTGGGAACGGTCATCACAGTCTGTGAATAGGGTCCATATAAACTGGATCCAATACACAATAATAAATCATAAGGGACTACAGCACCTGCTTGGAGAAAATTGTCAAAAAGTAAAGACGTGTAATATATTTTATGAATTTTGAATGGTTCTCATGGACACTCTGGCACTTTTGTGCAAACATTTGTATATTACTTTATTCTTAATAGAATTATTTAATTATTAGCATTTATGAGCCATGTGCTCCCTTCTGGAATTTTAGAATGTTTGTCTGTTGATTTATGAGCAAATTAAAGTCTGATTAACATTACTGGAAGAGACCATTACATGTTGAAACATGAGTAACAACCATGCTTCAAACATGAACTTAGAAGCTGCAGAATTTTCGCTAATAAGCTGCTCAGACAATCATTGCATTTCTAATAGCAACTTGTTAACATATATTTTCTGGGTTGGCCTTTAAATTGAGGTCACAACTGAACAGTTTTATAAGCCAGGCCATTAGAGACCATATTATTTTTTGCTTGTGTTGGATTTTTAAGGAAATAAAACTATTTCAAAAGAGAGTTCAAAATCATGTCAGCATCATCAAAACACTACTGAGAAGCCATAATAATGATCACAAAATCATAGGCATTATGATAGCAAAATGTTTATTATGATAACAAAATGTTCATTTATAGCACACCATCCTGTTAAGCGGTGCACTCATTTTTTTTTTGTCATTCTGGTTTCAAGTCATTAAATAAACAACTCAAATGGCATTAAAAATAAAAGGGTTTACTTGCGATCTTTTAAAACTTGGACAAAAGAGATCTGGCAGGATACAAATACGCAGAGAAGATGAAAACAAAAAGGGTGCCAGCATAGAAATATTAACAATTGTTATTTATCCATTTGTAAAATGGTGCATATAAAATCCATAGATCTAAATACACAAAATTCATTTTAAAACCACAGAACTCAAACATCTCCCCTAGAAATAAAGGAAGGCTAATACAAAAATAAAACCAATTCGAAATGTTCACAATTTTGTGAAGTTTGTATCCCCTGCCCGACCATGATTAGTCTTATATAGACACACAAACACACAGACATTCAATGATCCACATAGATTACATTTGCTTAAATCAGTGTGCTTCCTGGTTTGGCGAACATAATGAAAAATTCCATAGAATGCTTCCAACAAATCTTTGAGCACAGAACTGGTCTAAATTTGAACCTCTGAAACTAGATCCAAGGGTTCAGTCTGACAGCTTTACTGCTTTCTGAGTAACACCGTGCGATAGCATTATCTCTATCCTTCCGTGCTGGACTGCCACACTGTGCAATAGATAGAAAAAATGGAATGCGAGTACAGATGTTGTATTGCAGCAGCTTGTGCCACATTGTATTACTTCCTTGTGCATAACGTCCTGTCTACAAAACGAATTATTGCACTTTGAATATTAAAATCCAGCATCACAAAATAACCAGTGAACATGATAAAAGCTTAAGGACCTGATTTGGGTCAAAAAAAGGAAAAGAAAAAGAAAGGAAAACGCTGAGGTAAATGTAAAACCCATTTCATGATTCCGTGATCATTTCGGTGCAGTAATCAATATCAATAAAAATGTTTTCCACCACTACCTCCACTCAAAACATGCCAACTAAAACAAATACAAAACTAATTCGATGCCAGTGACAAATACATTGTCTCACCAAGCGTGATCGAATCATGAAGACGGACAACTACATCTTGTTTCATGCTATGAAATGTCGGGTTTTGTCGAGAGATGGACGGTGCAGGAAAATGATTTCAGTCCGTCACTTTAGCAGCCTCGAAATTGACTGCCAGTTTCCGGTGTTTCCGCTTGGAGGCCGAGCCGGGCATGTGAGGATTGGCGTTCGGCCTGGGCGTCTTGGGTGTGGTGGGCGTGTGCTTATCTGCAGGCTCATGGGTGCCGATGGGTGGGGGGGTCTTGGGGGCTGATGCAGGCATTGGGGCAGAAGCAGCCAGTCCACACACTTGCTTTGCCTCTTGGTTCTTGGTTCTGCCTGAAACTCTCTTCTTGGTCACCTAAAGACACAATGGCATGTTATAGCTACAGTGATATATCAGGATAAAGGGGTCAATGACAAATAAGTGTGTCTGTGATATGTATTTTGAATGAGTTTTATAGCAATTTCAAGCAAAGTTCATATTTAACAACATATTTTCATAATAATAACTTTAATAAATCTGTGTTTATATTTATTATTTTCTAAAAAGTTTTTAAGTACAGTTTAAGGCAAATTCATAAATATCATAGAAGTTTCTGGGGAGTTCCACCACATGACTTTTTACAACCTGAACTAATCTTGACTGGTCATAAACAGATCAAACTACCTAACATTTTAAAAGACATTTTGACCTTGATGCACAGTCATGAGTAGTGTTGGGTATCCGATTCCGATTTCGGATACTGCTTATCGATTCCAATTCTTTTCGATTCCTAGTTTTGATTCCAATAAGGAAAAAAAAAAAAAACAGTCAAAACAGTCAAACATTCAGATGTCAAACATATTATTCTGTGTCTTTTTACAAATCATTCTGTTGCAGCTGAATAACATGAGCAAAAATCAGCAGCCCACAGAACACTTAGGCCTACAAGCGGAACTTTTGCCTATGGTTTTAACAAAAATAGCACAGCAAAAACAACTAGACTAATATACATTTCAAACATTCAATTGTTAGAGACAAGTAACTAGTCAGTAATCAAATAGGAACAAACAAATCAGTTAACAATAGCATAAATAAATACAAATGAACAAATTTCAGAAATTGAAATTAGAAGTTTTGAAACACTGCAAAGTTTTTCTATTCATAATAAATAAAATATAGATTAATCCTCATTAAAGTTACGAAAGATATTCAGTCTAGATCAGTGAATGATTTTCTTTTGTTCTTTGATTAACATTAATGACAGGCAGCACGTTTATTTGGCTGCCGTCTCTTTAACACCGAATGCACACGGATCTAAAAATACTGTTACACATGCGTTTTCTTTCTCATCCGTTTACATTCAATATAGATAAAAATCCTGTTTACGAGGATATAATGACTTAATCTGGGCCATATTGGTCACAAAATGTGAAAGAGAAATCAGTTCCAGGTCCGGAACTACTAGAACGGACCCTTTTTGCACTTAAATGGTTTAAAATCACATTAGAATGCGAACGCAGGAATCAGAATGCACACGTATTATCGAATACCCGGTTCTTGGAAATTTGAAACCGGTTCTCATTACCCAACCCTAGTCATGAGGGTCATAGAACTACCCGTTTTTCATGTTTTTTTCTTTCCAGCTGCACCACATGATTTTGCTGATTTTGTTTAATATTTGTGAATTTGTTGAATATTTTAAAATCTCTTCACATTTATTTGTGGCTCAAAATCTATTTATCTGGAAATATACTGAACCGCTTTGAGATGCTGAAAACACTGGATCATGAGCTGCACGTGTGTAATTGATCACAGTGTCACGATTTGTTCTAAAACACGCAGAGTAATGGACTATATTCTTATTTAATAAAAACAGACACTACTGTGTGTATCAACTTGATGTCGGAAATGTGCAGCTAGTACAAGTGTATGGAAAAAAGAGTACTGAAACAAACATTCAAATATTCAGAATCGATATGTATTTTTTTTTTTTAAATCTATATTTTTGACAATATTATTAGGAAGTTCTCACCTGTAGGGGAACAAACTGATTGTGGGATCCGCTGGCTGCTGATGGCACAGGGGCCTGTGCTCCAGGGAAAGTTCCTCTATAGAACGGCTGGCCCTGGTGGGGAAACTGCATCCCCCAATGAAGAGGTCCATAGCCTTGTGGGGGCATCAGAAGACAACCTGTGTAAATAAAACATCAGATCTAGAGTAAAAGTAAAGAACAACTGAATTAGAAGAACAGGATTTGGAGTGTTACAAGCTGTTCGTGTATAGATAAGATCCCTGAAGTTGCAAAGACTAAAGTCTCAAATCCAAAGAGATATTCTTTTATAAAAGTTAAGACTCCTCCACGGCCTCCTAAAACGGCTCGTTCTAACACGCCCCCACGTCTACGTCACTGTGTTGGAAGACTTGCATAACACTGCCCAAATGTTCACGCAAAGAAAGAAGGCGTAACTTTTATTCTCGTTGTAGTATTGTTGTTGCCGCCGCCGTCATGTCGTGAAGGCGCTGTGTGTTTCGTTGTGAAAGCGAAATTACTTTGTTTGGCCTTCCAAAAGAGGACACGACTAGAAATCAGTGGTTAAGTTGTATTTACAACACTGTTCCAGAACACTTCAACCCAAATATTCAGATGTGTGCAGCACATTTTATGGAGAACTGTTTCCTGAACCTGCAGAATAACCTACAATGTGTCTGTGGCACAAAGGCTGTTTCTATAAAGTGGGGCAGTTCCAACTTTGCAAGGACAGTCTGGCGCTTCTGACTCGCAGCCTGTAAGTATGTTTTTATATTTAAAGAATTTGCCACTGATGATTCAAACGCGAGTTTTGAGCAGTGTAGAGTAGCACTTGTTGTTTGTCGTTTCTCCGATCACAAATGCAGACATGGTTTTAGGTTTACTAGGGTTGTGACGGTGAGGAAATTTTCCCACCGGTTAATCGACGCGTGACAACACCGGTAATACCGGTATCCAGAAAACAGACAGTATGACTCAGACCTGCTGGCTGACCAAACATGGAGGGATGAGGCGCAAGTGGCCTCATCTGCTGGACTCCAGGGAATATGGGAGGAGGGAGTGGCAATGAACCCAGTGAGTTCTGCAAAAGACAAGATGATTTCATTTGGCAGTGAACAAGGACTTAACGCATACTAAAATAATTGTAGACTCCACTATTTTCCATTAAGGCACATAATTCATTATATCATGAGAAAAGTCATGTAGTACTATCATATATTGACTTTTTTTTTAACACAAATTGCTGTTACCAATCGTTGAAGGGCAAAGAGAGCAGCTTTCTCTTTAGCTTCAGTTTCAGACTGGCACTGAGGACCGTGAACCAGCAGGCCATTAGACAACTTCACCTGACACATTGTCAGACTCTGTCAGAAAAAGAGAAAACAAGATAGAAAGAGGCGGCGGAAAACATTAGGTCTCATTCACTGAACTACATACAAATGTGTGCTTGAAATCTGTGAATGAACTTCCAATATTCATCAATAACTTATGCCCAAAAATGTATTCTAAATAAATTTTTATTTTTATAAATGTAGGAACTGACACACTGCAGCATGCAGATGTATGTGTCATTCTAAACAGACGCATTAACTGCTGTTCATTCAAATTAAAATGTTTATTGCACCAAATTTTCACACCAAACACTGGTCTAGGTGTGAACAGGCTTTTAGACAGAAATTTTTGTCAGATGTTTGCGTATAGATACGAATAATCCACACAATTATTAGTGAATCAAACCCATTGTTTTATGTCAATTATGACAATATATGGCTTGGCTATTGAGCATTTTATTATTCTTCCTCCAACTTTCTGGTTACAGTTGTTGTAAAGATCTAACCAAATCAAATAAAAAATAGAACTGATTGATGATTGGCTTGCTTTTTTTTGCATATCTATTATGGATGTTCTTTTCTTTCTCATGCTATCTGTAGGCAGCACACTTTACAAATTATTTACATTTCATATTACTAAATAACTATATTTTAGTTTAATCTCATTTGTTGACATTCAGTTGTGGGCATTTTAATGAGCTCCTGTGCATTTACTGTCTACTAAAAACCACAATATTCCAGATTACACAGATGTGGTTGGGGTTTGTGAGATGGACCAACCTGTCTGTTGTAGAGGAAGGCAAATTCTGGAGGTCCCATCCCAAGCCCCATGCATACTCGCCCGAGTTCAGTGGCCATGCTGAGCAGGAGGGGTGGCTGGCCAGCCAGAGGAGGAGGATGAGGAGTCGCTGCTGGCACATCAGTCTGAGGAGTATTTATACGAGCAGCTGAGAGACAGAGAACACCAATAATTATTCACTGTGCACATCTCAGGTTTGAGAATTAATCATCTAGCCAACAAAGTAAAGTTCCACAGCCTGAAATCTGACCAGACTGATTCTGGTTCTGATTTTACACATTGCAGTACCTAGTTTTTTACTGGAGCGTCTCTTGCTCTGCTGTTGAACACTGGGGTTTGCTGAATCCTGGCCACCAGTGCAATCAGCGGCACTTGGTCCAGAGTCAATCTTCAACATTTCTTTCAATACCAGAGTTCCCTTCTGCTCAAAGACAAAAAAAATATATATACTTGAAACATTCAAAAGACATTTAAATAACCATACTTTTTCACTCTTTTGTGCTGTGGATTCGGGAACCATGGATTACACACCATTGCAAAGGACTGTGGGGAAAGAGGCTCTCCTGATTGGTTCTTGGGCTCTGTAGGTGGATGATCCTGGACATGCTCAGAATCCTTTGAGATCTTCAGATTGGCTATAAGCTCCTCAAATTCTGTAGATGCCTGTAAACAAATCAATAAATAAATGTAAATAAAAACAATATTATACTAATTATAGAAAAATCTGGCAATTATTATTTTTAGGTAATGATTTATATTCAGAAATCATTGCACATGACTCATGAGAAATAGTGAAAAGTGGAATATTTATTTTAGATGTTTATTTATTGTAAATTGGCACAGGCATATCAATCTACCTTCTGACTTGCAGTGATCCGTATAGTCACGCAGTTGGTTTTATTTAGATATGAGTTGAATAGGAAGCCAAGAACGGATAATGGTTGTCCTGGTTTGTTCAGGTTTATTTGTAGCTTTTATCTTTCCAAAATACTGGTTGATATACAAGATGTTTTCAAGCAAATATACAAGGTCCTTAAAGGTATAGATCATCCAGAAAATGAAAAATCTGCCAGAATTTCCTCACCCTTAAAGGGATAGTTTACCTTCAGTTGTTGGTCACCATTGACTTCCATAATATGGAAAAAAAAAAAAAAAACACTATGCAATGCAAGTCCAGGGGGACCAGCAACTGAAGGTGAACTATCCCTTTAAGTTGTTCCAAACATGTATGAGTTTCTTTTATCTGTTAAATCTGTCTTTTGTGTTCTGCAAAGTAAGTAATAGGTTTGGAACAACTTGAGGGTGAGAAATGATGACAGAATTTTAAGAATTTTAATTTCTTCACCCGCAATGTCATTCCAAACCTATATGACTTTGTTCTGCAGACCACAAAAGTAGATATTTTTAAGAACGTTGGAATGAAAAAACCCTCAGACATTTTTCAAAGCATCTTATTTTGTGTTCCACAGAAGAAAGTTTTGGAATGACAAAAGGAACAGTAAATTAGGACAATTTTCATTTTTGGGTAAACCATCCCTTTAACATTCCACACACAAACCACAAACCTTATTTGAAGGCCCTTGTACGAAAGCCATATTCACATCCTCATTTCTCTTCAGAAGTCTAATATTGCCACCTGAGGCCTGAAAAATCAATAAACACTTATTAAAGGGGTCCTATTATGTTTTTTCACTTTTTCAACTTTAGTTAGTCTGTAATGTTTCTGTTTGAGCATAAAAAAGATCTGCAAATTTACAAAGTTCAAAGTCCACTTCAAAATCACTTTTCAAAAAATGTTTGGACTACAACGCATATTTTCCGGGATTTGTGATATCACAAATATAGACCTGGTTGAGCTGCACTAGAGAAGGCAACGAGTGTTATCACTATGTCAGAGACACGCTAGCTTTCCCAAGGCAGACGAACTTAGAGTGGTTACAATCATCCGGGTTTAAATTGCGCTCAAATTGATTTGATTTTGACGCAATATTTACACTGAAGCTCGCAGGCGGCTATGGTAAGGAGCGTGACATTTCCCGACCAGGTGCCGAGTGGTGCCAATCACAACACACACTGGCCCAGCTAACCAATCACAGCACATTTCGTATTTCAGAAGTCTTCAATTGATACAGGAACTATTCGAGCGGTTCATGCGTAAAATATGTGAAAAATAATGTGTTTTTCGAACAACCTAGTATGAGAGCCTGTTCTAGTGCACCCCCAAAACAAAATCAAGACTTTGTAAAACAGCATAATAGGACCCCTTTAAGCATTTAGTATAACATAAAAGAGAAAGCTAATAAAGAAAACCTGATATTAGAATATAAACTACTATATAAATGTAAAAGGTAATTTTATTGTATAACTAATGACAGTGATCAAATGCTGGGGCTTGACAGCTGAATTATACAGTGCAGTGGTGTATGAAATATGAAAACATACAAGTTTGCTGGATGGGTAGTTGCCTTGGCTTTGTTTACTTTGTCCCTCCAGCTGGTGCTGATGTGGCATCGGTCCACTGCTTCTCCCAGCCTGTCAAAAACAACACCAGGTAAACATCATATGTGACCCTGGACCACAAAACCAGTCTTAAGTCGCTGGGGTATATTTGTAGCAATAGCCAAAAATACATTGTATGGGTCAAAATTATAGATTTTTCTTTTATGCCAAAAATCAGGATATTAAAGGGGTCATATGATGCGATTTCAATTTTTCCTTTCTCTTTGGAGTGTTACAAGCTCTTGGTGCATAAAGAAGATCTGTAAAGTTGCAAAGACTAAAGTCTCAAGTATAACATAAAAGAGAAAGCTAATAAAGAAAACCTGATATTAGAATATAAACTACTATATAAATGTAAATGTAAAAGGTAATTTTATTGTATAACTAATGACAGTGATCAAATGCTGGGGCTTGACAGCTGAATTATACAGTGCAGTGGTGTATGAAATATGAAAACATACAAGTTTGCTGGATGGGTAGTTGCCTTGGCTTTGTTTACTTTGTCCCTCCAGCTGGTGCTGATGTGGCATCGGTCCACTGCTTCTCCCAGCCTGTCAAAAACAACACCAGGTAAACATCATATGTGACCCTGGACCACAAAACCAGTCTTAAGTCGCTGGGGTATATTTGTAGCAATAGCCAAAAATACATTGTATGGGTCAAAATTATAGATTTTTCTTTTATGCCAAAAATCAGGATATTAAAGGGGTCATATGATGCGATTTCAATTTTTCCTTTCTCTTTGGAGTGTTACAAGCTCTTGGTGCATAAAGAAGATCTGTAAAGTTGCAAAGACTAAAGTCTCAAATCCAAAGAAATATTCTTTATAAAAGTTAAGAGTCAGCCACGCCTACCTAAAAAGGCTCGTTCTAACACGCCCCCACATGTCTACATCACTATGTGGGAAGATTTGCATAACGCCGCACAAATGTTCACGCAAAGAAAGAAGGCGTAACTTTAATTCTTGCTGTTGCCGCCACTACCATGTTGTGGAGTCGCTGTGAAAGCGAAACTACTTTGTTTGGCCTTCCAAAAGAGGACACGACTAGAAATCAGTGGTTAAGTTGTATTTACAACAATGTTCAAGAACAGTTCAACCCAGATATTCAGATGTGTGCTGCGCATTTTATGGAGAATGAGTCCTGAACCATTAGCCTAATGCGTCTGTGGCACAAAGGCTGTTTCTATAAAGTTGGGCAGTTCCAACTTTGCAAGGAAGGACAGTCTGGCGCTTCTGACTCACAGCCTGTAAGTATGTTTTTTTTTATTTAAATAATTTGCCACTGATGATTCAAACGCGAGTTTTGAGCAGTGTAGAGTAGGCTTGTTGTTT